TTCCTCCCTCCCTCCCTCCCTCCCTCCTTCCCCTTCCTTCCTTCCTTCCTTCCTTCCTTCCTAAGGTTGACTCAGCCTTCCACCCTTCCAAGGTGGGTAAAAGGAGGACCCAGATGGTTGGGGGCAAGAGGCTGACTCTATAAACCGCTTAGTGAGGGTTGGTTCCTTCCTTCCTTCCTTCCTTCCTTCCTTCCTTCCTTCCTTCCTTCCTTCCTTCCTTCCTTCCTTCCTTCGTCTCCCCTCCTCCTTCCTTCTTTCCTTCCTTCCTTGTCTCCCTCCCCTCCCCTCCTTCCTTTCTTCCTATTTATCTGCCCTCCATTCTCCTTCCTTCCTGCCTCCTCCTTCCATCCCTCCTTTCTTCCTCCCTCTTTCCTTCTTTAACCTCCCTGAGACCTGATGGTGTAATGGTTGGAGTACAATCCTGCAGGCTCCTTCTGCTGCCTGCCGGCTGCCTTCAATTTGGCAGTTCAAATCCCCCCAGGCTCCAGGTTAACTCGACCTTCCCTCCTTTTGAGGTGGGTAAAATGAGGACCCAGATTGTTGGGGGACAGAGGCTGATTCTGTAAACTGCTTAGAGAGGGCACTAAAACATTGTGAAGCGGCATATAAGTCTAAGCGCTGTTGCTATCCTTAAATTCCTGGGATCCTTATCTAATTCCTAGTGAGTTGAAAAGATCCCCGTGGAACTCTGATCTAAGGCCTTTATTAATTGTCTCACACTTCATTATGAGAATTACAAGCCCATCCTGACATGTCAGCGTGGCTTACAAAAGACAACAATCAACCCAGAATAAAGAGAATATTTTTTAAAACAAACCTAGAAAAAAAAAAACCCAACAACCAATTTAAAAAAAAGAAAGACATTGCACTATTGAAATCATCCAGTATTGAGCTCTGCTGAATTTGGACTCTTTAGGCAGAAAACATTGTCCTTCTGGAACTGGATATGCCCAGTCGGACTACGCGGGATTATGAGGGCCCGGCCATCGCCCCCAAAGTCCAGGCCGCTCTAGAAGCCGCGTTGCAGGATGAAGATGAGATCCAAGTGGACGCGTCGACTTTCGAGAGTACGTCGAACAAGAAATCTAAATCTCGGTGAGCTGGTATTTGAATCCACTATTCCTTTGTAGGTCTGAGAAGTTGGGTGGCTGAATTGGTGGGCTTCCAGCCCCCTTAATTGGGGGAGAGATGTCTGTAAAAAAAAACAAAAAACCACGATCTGCTAGAGATGCAGGAATTTCTGAAATAGAAGATCTAGAGGAAGCCTAGAAAACAGCACACATTCCCTCCGGTCTCTGTAAATACGTTCGATAAAGGAAGACTCGTGTGTACATAACTCAGCGTTACTCAATCTTGGCAGGTTGAAGATTCTGGGAGTTGAAGTCCGTGAGGAATTCTGGGAGTGAAAGACCCAGTTCGGTCTAGTAGTTCTTGTGCTGGCCTACAAACTGGGAGAGACAGAGTTCTAGTCCCACCTTAGGTAGGAAAGCTGGATGGGTGATTTTCGGCCAATCACCAGGAGACATTGAATTATAGTTCCACCTTAGATATCAAAGCCAACTAGGTGACTTTGGGCCAATAACCAGGATAGTGTGAGTTCTAGTCCCACCTTCGGTAGGAAAGCTGGATGGGTGGCTTTGGGCCAATCACCAGGAGACTGTGAGTTCTAGTCCTGTGTTAGGCATGAAAGCCAGCGTCAGTTTTGGAATCTTTATTAAAAGCTGCCACCCAGCTGCGGAGGAGGAAAGGGGGCTGCCGTTGTTTGAGTAGCTTTCATTAGACAAAATATATACATAACACCTTCAAGGTCATTCTCTATGGCGCAGCAAGAATGGTAGCCGAAGGGTGATTGGTTCACGTGATTTATGATGTGAAAGAAAAGGGGTGGGCGTAGGTTGAGTCTTGTGGGAAGTCGGGGAGGAAAGTTTAGTTTCAGAATTCCACAGACGTGCCAAATTTCTGTTTTAATAAAGCACTTTTAAGATTATGGTTGTTTCGGAGTTAGTGATTGGAACGGATAATTTCTGGAATCCTGACAGCCAGCTGAGTCTGCGCCAGTGACTCACTCTCAGCCCAACTCACCTTGTTGTGGGGGAAAAAATAGGAGGAAGTTGGATTTAGATCATATTCTCCACCTTGTTATGTATAAAAATAATAAAAGCAGGGCACAAAAGACTTAAAACCCAAGGATCCAGGCAAGATCTTTGCCAAGGCAAAAGCCCAGGGACTCTTTGTTAGCCGCACGTATACAACCAGTGAAATTCTTTCTAAGAATACGATGTGAGATTTGTCGCCTTTTGTTTCGTTTTCCGCCCGCGAACGCGCAGGGATTTTCGTTCAGGAAGTTGCTTCTCCTTCACGCTCCTCCATTTTGTATCCCGCAGGCCTAAAACTGGAAGGAAGTCTGGCAGCTCGCCCTCCAGCGCCTCCAGCTCTCAGCTGTACCCCCAGTCTCGCGGGCTGGTCCCCAAGTAAGCCCGGTCGCTCCCGCTTGAGGGCACGGCTCCCATTCGGCCGTCAGTGCAGAGGCACGCGAACAACCTGCAAAAAAGGGGAGGGGGAACACTTTTTAAAAGAGGCCGAAGTCCAGAAGGAGGGGCCCCTTTTTTTGACAAGGAAACAGCCACCTCCTTTCTGCACCTGGTGGGACAGGTCTACGAGGGCTGCTCTCTCGCCCGCGCAAAAGGAACGATTTGCACCTCGGGAGGTGGGGCTGAAGGCGGAGGAGCCTTTCCTTAGGAAATCAGAAATGCATGAGTTACATTAGTGTGTGTTAGAAGCCAAGAGAAGCACGGGGTGGGTGGGTGTGTCCCCTTGCCTGCCCCCCCCCAAACCCCCGTGGTCCTCTCGCTTGTCTCTCGCCCTGGCGCGCTCTCATCCCCGGAGCCGAGGGCAAATCTCCCTGCAATCACCTCGATGACGCCTGAGAACAAGGTTGAGAAGTGACCAAGGGGATTTATTTTATTTTATTTTTTTGCTAGCCATGGCTTGGTTGTTTCCCGCCCCCCTCCCCCCCCTTCCATAGGTGAGGGTTGGGTTGGGAAAAAAAACACCTCCAAATTGGGGGGGGCGGGAAAGAGGGCGAGATCAAAAGACACTGCGAGAGCTTTCGGTACGTACGCAAAGGGAAAAGGTTTCGAAATCTGCCCTTTGGGGGGGGGGGCGGCTTTAGAAGGTAGGAAATTCACCAATCCTTGGCTTGTTTACAAGGAGGGATTTTTTAAAAAAGGTTCCAGGTGGGTCGGTTTCCTGGAGACCTCGACCACGAAGACCAGCAAGAGGCTACCTGGTCTAACAATCGCCCGCACCTCAGCTCTTCCTCTCCTCGCCACCCCATTCTCTGCAACCTGGGAGCGTTCGGGGACCGTCGCGTCCTTGTCTTCCGCTGTAGCTCACCTGACCTCGCTACTTGCCTCCGGTTTCCCTCCCTGGGAGAAATTAAAAACTTCTGAAGGGAGGAGAGGAACTCCTCTCCTCTCAATGGCGGAGGTTAAATCAGAGCCAAGTTTGAGAGGGGCTCCCAAGGGGGCAAGGCTTCCCATGTCCTCTTTCCGCTCCTAATTTCTTATTTAATAGTAAAGTTACCAAGCAGCCTGTCTGGAAAGTGAGATGCTACTAAAAGGGGCGGGGGGGGGGGGGGGTATTTCCAACTACTGAAGACTGTGCCCCCCCCTCCCTTTCGCTTCCTATTGTTTTATAGTTCGGTTTGTATATTTAACATGGTTGCACATTGCAAGTTCAGCTGTCTCTCTTTTTTTTGTTTTGTTTTTACACCGACGGTCGTAACTGTGAATATATTCTCATCAGCTCCCTTCTTCCGAATGTTTTTCACGTCCACGTTCTTCGGCTAGTCCGCCTTGTGGGAACTGATCTCAAAAGGCATACTCTTAAAAGTGTTAAAGGGTCTTTTTCGTCCTTGTTACGCCTTCTCGTCACTCTTCAGAGGGGGAGAGGCGTACGAATTCCATGGTCTCGTTCCCCCCACCCCATATAAGGACGCCCCGAGAGGCATTCTGCTGGCATGGTGCCTCAGGAGGCCCGGCCTTGCTCCCCGGACCTTCTGCTGTTGAATTCGCCAAGTACGTTTCTTGTTAATGGTGAGAAGCTGATCAGCCACAGGGTCAGTGGGGTGTTTTAATTTGGCGAGCTGGTCGGTCTTTAAGAATCGTATGAAACAGATCCCGTTGCTCTGCCAAGTCCGTTTCCTATTTGGTGGGGCCGATTCCCTGTGTAATTAAAAGAATTGACTGGCTCAAGAGGGGTGGGGGTGAGTTCAGCGACAAATCCAAAGATGATAAAGAAGTGGGGAGCATTTAACTGTTTCCCTAATGGCTGCATTTTTGACTTTGAGACCATTGGTGGTCCCCTGCTTTTCCCACGCCTACATTTTTTTCTCCATCTTAATCTTTCATGTACTGTCTTCTTAGTGTTTTCTGAAGCCGGCACTCTCTCTTTGGAAATATTTTAATAAGCCATGGTGTCAGCTACTGCCTTGTTATTTAAGGCAGCCCTTCCTCACTTGGTATCCCTAAGTATGTTGAATTGTTTCTTCATATCCCATGCCATGCTGTGAATATTAAACGTTGGTACCAGGCTAGACCAATAGAGCGGGGTTCTCCAACCTTGGCATCTTTTAAGGCTTGTGGGCTTCGACTCCCAGAATTCCCCAGCCGGCATCACGATGCCGGCTGGGGAATTCTGAGAGTCGAAGCCCACAAGTCTTAAAAGTTGCTAAAGTTTGAGGCACCTGCAATAGAGGATCTATTAAGGCCTATGGAAAATTCATTCACTGGGTTGAATAAGCTTCCCTTGGTTCCAGCGGGAATTGCAACGGGAATCTTATTCAAAGGACGGGATATGAGAGATGCTACTGTTTTTCTGCAAGCAATGTTTCCTTCCTGGGATTGTACCTAACCGACTACTGTTTTATCTGTACATAAAAGAACACTTGTCAATAGTTCTTTTTTTCTGTCCATGGATTTAAAGCTTGTCTCTCTCTGTAATAGCCTCTCTTGTCTAGGAATGTAAAAGTGCTCCTGCAAAAATAATAATAATAATAAAAAAATCATCTGGATTTATTGTATGTAAAATAACACATTTCCTCGGAGTTTTGCATTGTTTTATTTCACACCATACATATATGCCAGCTTTATAATCTGTAATAGCATGATGCAAAAAAGGATTTTTAGAATAGAATAAGTAATAGAACGAACAGAATTGGAAGGGACCTTGGAGGTCTTCTAGTCCAGCCCCCTTCTCAAGCAGAAGACCCTACACCATTTCAGATTAAATAGCTGTCCAGCCACTTCTTAAAAACCTCCAGTGTTTTGAGCACCCACAATTTCTGGAGGCAAGTTGTTCCACTGGTTTATCGTCCTCAGTGTTAGGTAGTTTCTCAGAGTTGCTTCTCTCTGATTAGTTTCCACCCATTGCTTCTTGTCCTGCCTTCTGGGGCTTTGGAGAATAGGCGGACCCCCCTCTTCTTCTTTGGGGCAGCCCCTCAAATATTGGAGCCCCGCTATCACATCACCCCTAGTCCTTCCAGTCATCAAACTAGCCGAGCCCAGTTCCAGCAACCGTTCTCCGTAAGAGTTCGAGCCTCGTCCCCCAGTCCTCTTTATTGCACTTCTCTGCCCTCTACTTTTCTTGTAGCCATTTCCCTTATTTCGCTTCCGCGCCCCATCTGGAAAGCAGCATTCCCCCCAACCCCGGCTCCTCCTTCCAGACTCCCATCGTCCACAGCCGCCAGCAAGGCCAGGGGCGTCACAGCGACCTCCGTCCATCCTCGGCTTCCCTGCGGCCTACAACCGGGGTCGGGCCTGGGCCCTGTCGCCTTTTTACCCGTCATGCCCCGCGGCGAGGGCGCATGGCCAGCGCCGCCCCACAGAGACCCGCCTTCCGCTCTCGTCTTCCCTTTCCCCATTTCGTTTCCGGGACTGCAACTCCCGTCTTGCCCCGCGCGCGCGGCTGCCAGGCTCGCCCTTCGAACGCTCCCTCCCCCTCCCCTCCCCGTCTTCCTCGCCCCGCTCTCGCTCCAAAACGCAACGCAAGCGCGCGCGCCTCGCAGATCGGGGCGGGCTGACCCTCCGCGGCCACCGTTCGGGCCTAGCGCGCCTCCGTCACCCAGCCTCCTTTTCTCTCTCTCTCTCTCTCTCTCTCTCTTCTCAGGCGAGCGAGCGCGCCATCCGCCCCTCCTCCTCCTGTTCTTCATCCTCGGGCTTTTTTTTTTAAATTATCATTATTATTTTTTCCCCCCCTTCCTCTTCCTCCTTTTTCCCGCCCGCCTTTGCGGGAGAGAGACCTTTGACCTCCCCTCTCCGGTTGTTATGTCGGGCCTTGGCCGCCGCCGCCGCCGCATTCCTTGACGCGCGCGCCCGTCGCCTCAGCCGCCGTCTTGTCTTTTTTTTTTTTTTTGCTTTTTTTTTTTTTAATCCCCTCGCCTCATAGCCGCCCGGGGGTGGGTGGGTGGGTGGGCTGCGCGCGCGCCCACACCCTCCTCCTCCTCCTCCTCCTCGAAGCCCGCGCTCGCCCGCAGCCCCGCCCGAGTAACGGTCGCCTCCTCGCGCCAGGCGCGCTCCCGCCGCCGCCAGCCCGCCCGCCCGCCCGCGGCCTGCTCCCCCCCGCCCCCCATTACACACACTTCGCGTGCGCGCGCGTCCGCCCGGTCAGCTCGCTCGCCCGCCCGCCCGCCCGGAGGAGGAGGAGGAGGAAGAAGATGAAGGAGATGAAGCAACGGAGGAAGAAGGAGCGCACGTGGGCCGAGGCCGCCCGCCTGGTGAGCGGGGCCGGGACTGGGGGTGGGGGGGGCTCAGCCGGAGCCACGCGGGAGAGCTGGGGGGGGGGTCCCGTCCCCTCAGGAGGCTTGAGGGGGGGGCGTTGTTTTCGCGCCTGGGGTGGGGAGTCCTCTGTGTGTGTGTGTGTGTGTGTGTGTGTGTATACATACATACATACATACATACATACACACAAACACACGTAAGGCATATATATAAATATATATCCACACACACTGGTATGTACGTGTGTGCTTGTGTGTTGTGGTCAAAGTAAGAGGAGACAGGAGTGTTCAGTATGCTCACAGCTTTGAGTTATTTGTAAAAAACAAATCAAGGCGGGATATATATGTGTGTGTGTGTTCCTATGTATGTATGCATCTATAGGTATTGTCTGTCTCTTCTATATCTATCATCTATTTATCTTCTCTTATCATCCGTATATCAATTTATCATCTATTTATCATCTATCTTATCTGTATCAATCATCTGTTTGAATTGAATTGAATTCTTTACTGTCATTGTCCCTACTACAAATTCGGCCCTTTGATGCTATGGTCTCCTGTCCATCCGTCCGTCCGTCCCCCCGCACAACAACCCCTTGAGGTGGGCTTGGCTGAGAAAGAGTGATGGACTAAGCTAAGACGAAAAAGAAGAACAGCTGCAGGAATTGGGGATGTCTTTTTTAACAAAGAGAAGGACCAGGGGGGGACGTGATAGCAGCCTTCCAATATTTGAGGGGCTGCCACAGAGAGGAGTCTGGAGGGGTCAACTTATTCTGTAAAGCACCAGAAGGCAGGACAAGAAGCAAAGGATGAAAACTAAGCAAGCAGAGAAGCAACCTGGAACTATTGAATTGGATTTTTTATTGTCATTGTACGTATATACACAGTATACACATGCAACGAAATTCACATAACACCCAGAGACCAGGCTCAACACACACACACACACACACACACACACACACACACACACGACAATCCCCAAACACACACACACATCCGCCAAAATTCCCCACCTCCTAAAAAACACACAAGCCTCCACACCACAGACCAAGTAATCCTGTCCAACACCTCACTGATGGTGGTCCTTAAGTTCATTGTTAAGTGCAATTATAGCTCTGGGATAAAAACTGCTCAGAAAAACGTGTGGTCCGAATTTTAATGGTTCTGTATCTTCTGCCAGAAGGCAACAGCTTCACAAAGATTGTGAGCAGGATGGGAAGAGTCGCTGAGAATGTTGTGCGACTTCCTCAAACGGCGAGAGGTGAAGGTGTTGTCCAGGGCTGGTAGCTGGAGCCCAGTGATATTTTGGGCAATGATATTTATCATCTATCTTATCTATATCTATCAATCATCTATCTGTCTGTCATCTATCTTATCTATATCATCATCTATTTATTATCTATATCAGGGGTGTCAAATTTGCAGCCTGCGGGCTAGATGTGTCACATGCTGGTCCCACCCCGCACCCCCCAGTTTAACAAAAGGGGGGAGTCCTGATACTTCATGTGATGCCGCTGTGAGTTTGACAGCCCTGATCTATCTATATCATCTATCTATATTATCTATGTATAATCTGTCTGTTTATCTATCTATCTATCTATCTATCTATCTATCTATCTATCTATCTAT